AGCGTTCCGGTGATCTGTTTTCACTGTGATGTCCGGCTTTGATATTTGGGGATGAATGTAATTTAGCAGAGGATTCATCAGAATAATAGGAATCCGGTGATATGTTAATTGAACAGATATTAGGGGAAACAGTGTGCGACTTCCTAGAAAAGCATTCCGTAGGATGAGAGCGGTTACGTGACCTATTCACATTGTAATGTTCAGGAAGGACATTCGAGTCAACACTAAATGATACATTGGGAGAAGATTGCTCAGGTATGGAGGGATCTGGTGATCTGTTTTCACTGTGATGTCCTGCATGAATACTTGGGGATGAATGTGATGTAACAGAGGTTTCATCAGGATAATAGGAATCTGGTGATCTGCTAAGTGAGCAGATATTGGGGGAAATAATGCATGACGTCACGGGAAAGAATTTCTTAGAATATAAGTGGTTGGTTGATCTGTCCACACAGTCATGTTCAGGAAGGACAATTGAGTCAACATTAAGTGATACACCTGGAGGAGTTTGCTCAGCTATGGAGCGTTCTGGTGATCTGTTTCCACTGTGATCTCTTGCGTGGTTATTTGAGAACGAATGTGATTTAGCAGTAGATTCTTCAGGGTAATAGGGATCCAGTGATTTGTTGGGTGACTGGAAATTCTGGATAACACTGTGTGACTTCATGTGAGAAGATACGTCAGTATCCAGTGTTCTATCCACACTGTGAAGTTCCGAATGGATATCTGGAGTGACAGCATGGGTTATATCAAGAGAACATTCCTCAGGATAGGAAGGATGAAGTGATCTGTCTGGACTCTGAAGTCCAAGACTGCTATTTGATGCAGTATGCACTTTATCAGAAGACTCATCGGGATCCGGTGATCTCCCACGTAATGAACGGATATTTGGGCTGATAATAAGTGACTTCATGGAAGTGTATTCCTCAGGATAACAAGGAATAAGTGATTCATCCAGAAGGAGACGTTCTGGATGGACATTTAAAGTGATAAGCAATTTACTGGAGGACAAATACTCAAGAATAGGGGAATTCTGTGACCTTTCTGCAGTCTGTAGGTCTAAATGGACATTAGGAGCAGTATGCGATCCAACGGATGATATTTCTGAACTATCAAGTCCCGAATAAATATTTACATCAGTATGTGACTGATCAGAAGATTCTTCAGGATGAGAGGGACCTGGTGAGCTGTTAAGTGCTAAATAGACATTTGAGGTAATGGTACGTGCCTCAAAGGGAGAGGATTCTTTAGAATCTGGTGGCCTATCCATATTGTGAAGTCCCAGATTGACATTAGTATGGGATTTATCTTGAGTGGGTTCCTTGGGATTAATGAGATCCAGTGACATATCTGTATTTTGCAGTCTCAAATGGATGTTTGGAGAGAGATTATATGGATATTCTTGGGGATTAGTGGTTTGGGGTGACCTGTCCGAACCCCGAAGTTCTGGACTGATATCTGGGGCAGTAGGCAATTTATCAGGAGGTTCATTGGGGAAAGAGGGATCTGGTGATCTCTTTGGGATATTTGGATCAACAGTATCTGACTCCATGGGGGAGGGTCCCTCAGAATTAGATGGATTGAGTGAACGATCCACACTGTGAAGTCCTGGATGCATAACACTATGTGCCTCTTCGGGAAAAGAATCCTTGGAATTAGAGGGATCTGTAAATGTGTCGGCACTGTGAGGTCCTGGATGGCTATTGGGGGTAACAAGGTTTTCTCCCTGAGAACCTCCTACCACATCATCCTCATTCATGCTACAAGTGGGACGTTCCTCTGAGCTTCTCCTGGTGTGGTGTCCATCTGCGGGCAAATAAAACATTTCAATCTTTCCATGTTTAGTCACCCTTATTTCATTTTTTACCCCTTAAGCTTTGGAAGGTTTTACTCCCCTTCATGACGAGGCCATTTTTTTAACTATTCAGCACTGCGCTACTTTAACTGGCACTTGCATGGCCATGCAATGCTGTAACAATTTTTTTTTTTATTATATAAATGGAAAAAAAGACAGAAAATTTAGAAGAAAAAAAAAAACTATATTTTCTACTTTCTGCTATAAAACATATCCAATAAAAAATTAAGAAATCTAATTTCTTCATAAATGTAAGCCAAAATGGTTCGTGTGAAAGTTAGAGCATCTACAACTATGGTATATATACTGAAATGTATGCAGTTATGAAGCCATAATGGTAACGGCGGTGGTCAGTGACTTCTAGTGGGACTGTGATAGTGTGGTGGTATGGTATACAGTGAAGGAAATAAGTATTTGACCCCCTGCTGATTTTCAATGTTTGCCCACTCACAAAGTAATAATCAGTCTAAAAATCGAATGGTAGGTGTATTGTAACACTGAGAGACAGAATAGCAACAACAAATTCAGCAGAAATGCATGTCTAACAAATGATGCACTGATTTGCATGTTCATGAGGGAAATAAGTATTTGATCCCCTATCATTCAGCAGGATTTCTGGCTACCAGGTGTCTTTCATACAGGTGACAAGCTGAGATTAGAAGCAGTCTCTTAAAGGGAGTGCTGCTAATCTCATTTTGTTACCTGTATAAAAATCACCTGTCCACAGGAGCAATCAAACAATCAGACTCCAAACTCTCCACCATGGCAAAGACCAAAGAGCTGTCCAAGGATGTCAGGGACAAGATTGTAGACCTACACAAGGCTGGACTGGACTACCAAACTATCGCCAAGCAGCTTGGTGCGAAGGTGACAACAGTTGGTGCAATCATTCGCAAATGGAAGAAACACAAAACAATGGTCAGTCTCCCTAGGTCTGGTGCACCATGCAAGATCTCACCTCGTGGAGTGTCAATGATCATGAGAACACTGAGGAATCATCCCAGAACTACACGTGAGGATCTTGTCAATGATCTCCAGGCAGCTGGGACCACAGTCACCAAGAAAACAATTGGTAACACACTACGCCGACAAGGATTAAAATCCTGCAGTGCCCGCAAGGTCCCTCTGCTCAAGAAAGCACATGTCCAGGCCCATCTGAAGTTTGCCACTGAACAGCTGAATGATGCAGAGGAGGACTGGTTGAAAGTGTTGGGGTCAGATGAGACTAAAATCGAGCTCTTTGGCATCAACTCAACTCGTCGTGTTTGGAGGAGGAGGAATGCTGCCTTTGACCCCAAGAACACCATCCCAACTGTCAAACATGGCGGTGGAAACATTCTGCTTTGGGGGTGTTTTTCTGCTAAGGGGACAGGACAACTGCACCGCATCAAAGGGACAATGGATGGGGCAATGTACCATCAAATCTTGGGTGAGAACCTTCTTCCCTAAGCCAGGGCATTGAAAATGGGTCGTGGATGGTTGTTCCAGCATGACAATGACCCAAAACACACGGCCAAGGCAACAAAGGAGTGGCTCAAGAAGAAGCACATTAAGGTCCTGGAGTGGCCTAGCCAGTCTCCAGACCTTAATCTGATTGAAAATCTGTGGAGGGAGCTGAAAGTTCGGGTTGCCAAATGTCAGCCACCAAACCTTAATGACTTGGAGAGGATCTGCTAAGAGGAGTGGGCCAAAATCCCTCCTGAGATGTGTGCAAACCTGGTGGCCAACTACAGGAAACATCTGACCTCTGTGATTGCCAACAAGGGATTTGCCACCAAGTACTAAGTCATGTTTTGTGAAGGGGATCAAATACTTATTGCCCTCATGAACATGCAAATCAGTGCATCATTTGTTAGACATGCATTTCTGCTGAATTTGTTGTTGCTATTCTGTCTCTCAGTGTTACAATACACCTGCCATTCGATTTTTGGACTGATCATTTCTTTGTGAGTGGGCAAACCTTAAAAATCAGCAGGGTAGCAAATATGCATTTCCTTCACTGTATACCATACCACATTATCACAGTCCCACTAGAAGTCGCTGACCACCGCCGTTACCATTGTGGCTTCATAGCTGCATACATTTCAGTATATATACCATAGTTGTAGATGCTATAACTTTCACACGAACCATTTTGGCTTACATTTATGAAGAAATTGGATTTTTTAATTTTTCCCTCACTGTAGTATTGTAGCCAATCAGCTTTTAACTTCAGTTTGTTCAATTAAGCTTTGACAAGAAGCTGATTGATTTCTAGGCAGAGCTGCACCAGATTTTAAACTCTACAGTTTTAGTAAATCAACCACTGTGTGTTTGCAGACACAGGATTCTCTGCTGTGATTGGCTACAGCTGATCAGTAGGTCTCAGCCATAACCCCTGGTTCACACCTATGCAGCCGCGCGGGCCGCATTTTGCTCGGGCACGAGAGCCCATTCATATGAATGGACTCCCGTGCCACGCAGGGAAAGAAGTGCTGTCCACTCTAAGTAAATTTACTGTTGGCAGGCAGCAAGCAGGTAACAATGTCTATTAAAAACTTCATTTTCTCACGATTACAAAAGGACCGGGATGAATCTGAATCACATGTGAAGCAAGTGGTTCTCACAAGGAATGTTTCATTGATGGAAACGGAGTGAGAGCTTTCAGAAGAAAATCCCTAGCTATTTCTAGCCAGGTGTTTCAAACATGAACACCGGGAACAGCTTAGCAGCACTGGGGGCGGAACGAAAAAAAATATCAAGTCTGGAATTCCTTCTAAAACTTGTCAGGAACCAGAAACTGATGTAGGCAATATCGCTTCTCAGCCTTTTGTCTAAGATCAAGGGTAGTATCTGCTCAATATCTGATATGTCCCCTATCAGGGGACAGTTTATTAAATGAATTTTTAGAAGAGGAAGATGGAAGAAGAGCTTGTAGGCAATTAGTCAAGAATATAGGATTGGCCTTTTGATCCACCATGAATATACCGTATATCATAATTGTAAAAAAAAAAAAATCGCTTTTTGTTAATTACCTCTGCTGATGTCTGGAAGAAAATACCCCTGTGGACATTGGTCATCAGCCATTGAAGATGTCTCTTCTTCTACACATGGCACTGTCCCAGCATTCAAATCTCTACCCTAAACAATGAATGGAAACAAATAAGAAAAAAGAAAAACTAATTTCACTGTGGTGAGAATCTAAGTTCTATTTACCTGATGATGGTGAGGGATGGTGGGCCCTTCCTGTGTGGAATCCCAGGAATACAGACGGGGACATCCCTCTGGTGGGTTCCCATTACTTGATCTATCTGCCTGATGATGGTGAGGGATGGTGGGCCCTTCCTGTGTGGAATCCCAGGAATACAGAGGACGGGGACATCCCTCTGGTGGGTTCCCATTACTGGATCCATCTACCTGATGATGGTGAGGGATGGTGGGACCTTCCTGTGTGGAATCCCGGGAATACAGAGGTCGGGGACATCTCTCTGGTGGGTTCCCATGACTGGATCCATCTGTAGGAAACACACACACTGACTGAATCCACTGTTTCTATGTGTTTATCAGATGATGGGGGATCTAGGTGGACCCTCCGTACTGCTCTCTCCTTTACAACAAAGTCTCCACTTACCTGGTGATGTGAGGGGCGGCTGATCCTCCACCATGACATCCTTATAGAGATCCTTGTGTCCTTCTAGATACTCCCACTCCTCCATGGAGAAATAGACAGTGACATCCTGATACCTTATAGGAACCTAACACACAATGATACAGTCACCATCCAGACACATCCCTTGTCTATTACTGGAGAATGTCCTAGAATTCCCGGCACCGCTCACCTCTCCTGTAAGCAGATCGATGATCTTCTGGGAGACTTCTATAATCTTTTTGTCATTGTTCCTTTCAGATGTTAGAGAGTTAGGTTCAGGCTCCAAGATGGGACGCTGGCTCCTGCCCCGCCCTCCTAGTACATTTAAAAGACCTTCAATAAATGTCAGCTTCACTGCTGCATATTTCTAGATAGGAGGAAAAAGGTGCAAATATTCATGAGTGATGTCATGTGACTTCCCAGAATCCTCCTCACCTCTCTGGTCAGGTCTGTGTTTTATTATTAAAAATAAGAGTGCTCATGTGACCTCCCAGAATCCTCCTCACCTCTCTGGTCAGCTGTGTTTTATTAAGAGAGAGAAGAGTGATGTCATGTGACCTCCCAGAATCCCCCTCACCTCTCCGGTCAGCTCTGTGTTTTATTAATAGAGATAGAGTGATGTCATGTGACCTCCCAGAATCCTCCTCACCTCTCTGGTCAGCTGTGTTTTATTAATAAAGAGTGATGTCATGTGACCTCCCAGAACCCTCCTCACCTCTCCGGTCAGGTCCGTGTGTTTTATTAATAGAGATAAGAGTGATGTCATGTGACCTCCCAGAATCCCCCTAACCTCTCCGGTCAGGTCTGTGTTTAATTAATAGAGAAAAGAGTGATGTCATGTGACCTCCCAGAATCCCCCTCACCTCTCCGGTCAGCTCTGTGTTTTATTAATAGAGATAAGAGTGATGTCATGTGACCACCCAGAATCCTCCTCACCTCTCTGGTCAGCTGTGTTTTATTAATAAAGAGTGATGTCATGTGACCTCCCAGAATCCTCCTCACCTCTCCGGTCAGGTCGGTGTTTTATTAATAGAGAAAAGAGTGATGTCATGTGACCTCCCAGAATCCTCCTCACCTCTCCGGTCAGCTCTGTGTTTTTTAATAAAGATAAGAGTGATGTCATGTGACCTCCCAGAATCCCCCTCACCTCTCTGGTCAGGTCTGTGTTTTATTAATAGAGAAAAGAGTGATGTCATGTGACCTCCCAGAATCCTCCTCACCTCTCTGGTCAGGTCTGTGTTTTATTAATAGAGAAAAGAGTGATGTCATGTGACTTCCCAGAATCCTCCTCACCTCTCCGGTCAGCAGGTAGATGATCTCCATGGTGAGGTCTAATATCCTCTTGGTCATCACTCTCCTGTCCATCCCTTGTGGAGAAGTCCTGGTGGAGGAGAGGGGCAATTAGGAGACAATGGAAGGTAGTTTGAAGATTGGACTGTATTGGGATGGGGAGGGATGGAGGTAACAATGGTGAGCACAGTTCACACAATACACAGAACTGCTCACAGTAGAAACGTTTGAGGGTCATGTCTGTACATATGACATCAATTACTGGAAAAGAGCAATGGTGCTTCCTTTGTCTGTCCCTTGTTTAAAAAAAGTTAGAAATGTTTTTCTATTAAATATATAGAGTGGGATAGTGACAGAGAGAGAGGACAGAGTGATGGGTGAATGGAGAGAAAGAGCTGGATTAAAGGGAAAGGATGGGGGGTGGAGAGAGAGGGATATAGAGTGACACAGACAAAGAAAATATAGGGGATCAGAGAGAGAGAGGATTGGGGGGGGGGGGCCTATAGAAAGGACATGTGTGTGGGGGGGTATAGAGAAGATATAAAAAGGACATGGGGGGGTATAGAGAGGACATGGAGGGTATAGAGAGGATACGGGGGGGTTTAGAGAAAATGGGGGAGGGTATAGAGTGGATGCAGGAGTATAAAGATGATGGGGGGGTTTAGAGAGGGGTGGGGGCATAGAGAGAAACAGGGGGGTATAGAGAGAACGGGGGTCTAGAGAGGATGGGGGGGGGGGTCTAGAGAGGACAGGGGAAATAGAGAGGGTGGGGGCATAGAGAAGATGGGGAGGGGGGTATAGAGCGGATGGGGGGGTCTAGAGAGGACAGGGGATATAGAGAGGGTGGCGGATAGAAAGGACAGGGAGGGTGATATAGACAGGATGGGGAGGTCTAGAGAGGACAGGGGATATAGAGAGGGTGGGGGATAGAGAGGATGGAGAAGAGTGATAAGGAAAGGCCAGAGGAGGGGAATACAGATGATGGAGATGGGGAAGGGTATAGAGGGGATGGAGATGGAGGTCTAGAGAGGAGGGGGTTATAGAGAGGATGGGGTATATAGAGAGGACATGGGCTACAGAGGGGGGGGGGGGGGGTAGAAATAATGGGGGGGGGGGGGGGGGGTTGAGAGAAAAGGGGGGTCTAGAAAGAATGGGGGTTATAGAGAGGGGGGATAGAGAGGATGGGGGGGGTATAGAGAAGGTGGGGGGGTTTAGAGAGGATGGGGGTCTAGAGAGGGTAGGGGGGATAGAGGATGGGGGTTATAGCGAGGGAGGGTGGGGGGTCTAGAGAGGAATGGGGGGGGGGTCTAGAGAGGACAGGGGAAATAGAGAGGGTGGGGGCATAGAGAGGATGGGAGGTATAGAGAGAACGGGGGTCTAGAGAGGATGGGGGGGGGTCTAGAGAGGACAGGGGAAATAGAGATGGTGGGGGCATAGAGAAGATGGGGAGGGGGGTATATAGAGGATTGGGGGGGGGGGGGTCTAGAGAGGACAGGGGATATAGAGAGGGTGGCGGATAGAAAGGATGGGGGGGGGGTCTAGAGAGGATGGGGGGGTCTAGAGAGGACAGGGGATACAGAGAGGGTGGGGGATAGAGAGGACCGAGAAGAGGGATAAGGAAAGACCAGAGGAGGAATACAGAGGATGGAGATGGGGAAGGGTATAGAGGGGATGGAGATGGAGGTCTAGAGAGGAGGGGGTATAGAGAGGATGGGGTATATAGAGAGGATAGGGGCCACGGGGGGGGGATAGAAATAAGGGGGGGGGGGGTTTGAGAGAAAAGGGGGGTCTAGAAAGAATGGGGGTTATAGAGAGGGGGGATAGAGAGGATGGGGGGTATAGAGAAGGTGGGGGGGTTTTAGAGAGGATGGGGGGTCTAGAGAGGGTAGGGGGGATAGAGGATGGGGGTTATAGCGAGGGAGGGTGGGGGTCTAGAGAGGAATGGGGGGGGGTCTAGAGAAGGTGGGGGGTATAGAGAGAAGGGGGGGGGGGTATAGAGAGGGTGGGGAGGTTGAGAGAATGGGTTGGGGGGTGTAGAGAGGGTTGAGAGAGGACGAGGGGGTATAGAGAGAAGGGGTGATAGGACAGGAGGGTATAAAGAGCATGGGGGGGGGGGGGGGGGGGTCCAGAGAGGATAAGGGTATAGAGAGGATGGGGGGTATAGAGAAGGTCGAGAATACAGAGGATGGAGATGGGGCTATAGAGAGGATGAAAGTGGGGGTAGAGAGAGAAGACATCCAGACACATGAATAATAGCAGATAAATGATCAGGACATGTAGATAGACATTTGTTAGTTCACCGCATACACCATGGGTGAGATATACCGTATATATATATACACCATATTACCAGAAGTATTGGTCGGCCGGCCTTTCCACGCACATGACCTTTAATGGTCCCCAGTCTTAGTCCGTAGGGTTCAATATTGAGTTGGCCCCGCCCTTTGCAGCTATAACAGCTTCAACTCTTCTGGGAAAGCCGTCCACAAGGTTTAGGAGGGTGTCTATGGGAAGACTGGACCATTCTTCCAGAAGCACATTTGTCAGGTCAGGCACTGATGTCGGGGGGGAGAAGGCTTGGCTCGCAGTCTCCGCTCTAATTCATCCCAAAGGTGTTCTATGGGGTTGAGGTCAGGACTCTGTGCAGGCCAGTCAAGTTCCTCCACCCCAAACTGTCTCCCATGTCTTTATGGACCTTGCTTTGTGCACTGGTGCGCAGTCATGTTGGAACAGGAAGGGGCCATCCCCAAACTCTTCCCACAAAGTTGGGAGCATGAAATTGTCCAAAATGTCTCCTTAAGTGTTCCCTTCACTGGAACTAGGGGGCCAAGGCCAACCCCTGAAAAACAACACACACACACCATAATCCCCCCTCCACCAAACTTTACACTTGGCACAATGCAGTCAGGCAAGTACCGTTCTCCTGGCCAGACATGTCCATCGGATTGCCAGACAGAGAAGCGTGATTTGTCCCTCCAGAGAACACGTCTCCACTGCTCTAGAGTCAAGTGGCGGCGTGCTTTACACTACGGCATCCGATGCTTTGCATTGCACTTGGTGATGGAAGGCTTGGATGCAGCTGCTCGGCCATGGAAACCCATTCCATGAAGCTCTCTACGCACTGTTGTTGGGCTCATCTGAAGGCCACACCAAGTTTGGAGGTCTTTAGCTATTGACTCTGCAGACAGTAGGCGACTTCTGCGCACTGTGCGCTTCAGCATGTGCTGACCCCGCTCTGTCCTGTTACGTGGCCTACCACTTGGTGGCTGAGTTGCTGTTGTTCCCAGTTGCTTCCACTTTGTTATAATCCCACTAACAGTTGAGCGTGGAATATTTAATAGCCAGGAAATGTCCCGGATGGACTTATTGCACAGGTGACCACCTATCACGGGACCACGCTTGGAGTCACTGAGCTCCTGAGAGTGACCCATTCTTTCACAAATGTTTATAGAGGCAGTCTGCATGCCTAGGGGCTTGATTGTATACACCTGTGTCCATGGAGGTGATTGGAACATCTGAATCACAGGATATGGAGGGGATCGGAACACCTGGACCACATGATATGGAGGGGATCGGAACACCTAAACCACATGATATGGAGGGGATTGGAACGCCTGAATCACATGATATGGAGGGGATCGGAACACCTGAATCACATGATATGGAGGGGATCAGAACACCTGAATCACGATTGGAAGGGCGGGGCCAACACTTGAGGCAATATAGTGTATCTATAGACTGTATTGGCGGCACTGATAGTACAGAACCCGGGGGGGGGGGGGGAAGGGGTCATCCAGGACTCTCTCCTCACTGTGGGGCTCATCTTCATCCACATGTATCACTATGACCTCCCCCCTGTATGTGTACTTCCATCATATCTGTCCCCAAGGGGGGAGGGAGGACAGCGCCCCCTATGTATGGAGGAAGTTTATATCCATCTTCTATCACTGCATACTACAGACACCTATATATAGTACCCCCCAGTCATGTCTTGTATACAGTGACGTACAGGTGCTGACTCCTCCAGGATACACCTCCCCCCTGGTCTCTCTCTCTACCTCAATCGGCTGACCCCCTCAGTACCTCACAGCACACTCTTCCTCCTTCACTGCAGACCCGGAAATAAACCACTTCCGGGATTTCTCACCGCCCACTTTTGGTCTGTGCGTTCCACAGAGACCCCGCGGTGGTGAAAGCCTGTGGAACGCATACACAGCAAAGGGGCGGGGACAGTGGGCGGGGAATATTAGGGGCTTCTTTGCAGAGGAGGGAAAGAGCTGGAGAGGGGGGAGGGGCAGAAACAGCAAGGGGCGGGGAAGTACAGGGCTTGTCCAATGGCCAGCTTCTATCATCTTTAATGGAAGAACATCTTATATAACAATATCTTCTATATGTCTATTACTATATACAGCCTATCTATAAATACATATATATTTTATATCTCTATATATATCTCTATATATATATAATAATATATAGATATATCTATAGATAGATAATATCTATATATATACAAAATATATAGATATATAATACAGATATATATACACTTATAGATATATATATATCCTATTTATATATATTTATATTTGTATATTTATATATAATATTTTATTATATATATATATATATGTAGATCCTAAGATTTGTATATAAATGTAAGCAGCAGGGAGATACAACAGCAAGAAACTACTGCATGCTGGACAGACTGTGAGCAAACACCCTGGGAAACATCTCTTACAAATCTGAGTCCCACGTCATGTACCTTTTTAATATGTCCCCTCTACTCCTCCTTTTCATATTACTTTCTTGCGTTCCCAAAATCTCATTTCTTTACCCCTCTGCTCCACCCAAAACTTGTACATCTCACGCTCACTGCTACCATCTCCCTACTACTGCTCTCATCACCTCCTGCTGATACTTCACTCTTCTGCTGACCCAAACACCAGGACTGGAAGGCATGTACGCTTGTGTACATCCCGCTCCCATGTTACTTTCCTCACCCTTCTTCTCCTCCTAACCTCTGGGGATATTTCCCCAAACCCTGGTCCCTCACCACCTCACTCACCCGCTAGGCACCCTCCTACTCCCACAAACCACCGCAACCCCCTCAACCTTATACCTGTCCCCCTCCTCCCTGCATCCACCCCTCCACTCTCGATTGCACTCCTGAATGCCCGATTGGTTTGCAACAAGCTCACCGCCATCCATGACCTCTTTACCTCCCACTCCCTCAACCTCCTAGCGGTCACCAAAACCTGGATCCAAGACACTGACTCCACTTCCCCTGCGGCACTCTCCTATGGAGGTCTCGTCTGATCCCATTCACCCAGACCGAGCGGTCGTAGAGGTGGTGGGGTCGGCATGATCTTGTCACCGCTGACCACCTTCCAGGTCCTCCCAAACCCCCCCTCTCTATCCTTCTCCTCCTTCGAGACCCACTGCATCTGACTCCTCTCCCCCACCCCTCTGAGGATTGCAGTAATCTTTCGGCCTCCTGGACCCGTATCCTGCTTCCTTGATGACTTTTCCGCCTGGCTACCCTTCTTCCTCTCCTCTAAGCTACCCACCATCATCCTTGGAGACTTCAATATCCCTGTCAATGTCAACAACCCAGCTACATCCCAACTCCTCCACGTAACCTCTTCTTTTGCACTCACACAGTGTACACAGTCCTCCACCCACACCGGACGGGAACACCCTGGACCTCGTTTTCTCCCATCTCTGCACCCTCCACAACCTCACAAACACCCCCTTTCCCTCTCTCTGACCACAACCTCATTATGTTCTCCATCTCCCCGTCCTCAAAAACCTCCCCCCCAAACGTCAAACCATCACCAGCCGTAACCTCTGCAACCTGAACCCGGACCCTCTCCACTCTGCAGCTGACTGTCTGTATGACAGTATCCTTCCACTGTCATGCCCCGACCTGGCCACTACTGCGTATAAACGACTCGCTGTCAGCTGCCTTAGACTCCTTAGCACCCCTAACCACACGTAGCATTAGACCCAGACCGCTTCAACCCTGGCAGAACGACCACACTAAAATTCTTAAATGACGCAGTCGTGCGCCGGAACGATTATGGCGCAAAACCAAGTCCCCTCGAGCGTTCTCCCTCTACAAATCCGCCTTCCTCACCTACTCCTCCTCCCTCCACGCCGCCAAACAACCTCCCCAACACTCCGCTCCCTCAGCCTTGCTACCACTGAGGAGGTCACTAAGGTCATCTCAGAAGCCCACCTCACCACTTGCCCCCTTGACCCTGTCCCCACACAACTCCTCCGGTCACCCTCCTCCTCCATCCTACGCTCCCTCACCCACATCTTCAATCTCTCCCTCTCTACTGGCACATTCCCCTCCCCCTAAAGCATATGCACATCACCCCCATACTCAAAAAACCCTCCCTGGACCCCACCGACCTGAACAACCTTAGACCCATCTCCCTGCTGCCATTTACTTCCAAGCTCCTTGAGCGCTTAGTCTACAATCGCCTAAGTGCCCACCTCACTGACAACAACCTCCTCGATCCACTACAGTCTGGCTTCCGTCCCCTACACTCCACCGAAACCGACCTACTCAAAATCACTAATGACCTGCTAACCGCCAAAGCTAATGGCCACTACTCAGTCCTCCTACTCCTCGACCTCTCCGAGGCCTTCGACACAGTTGACCACCCCCTCCTCCTTAATAAACTACACTCCCTCGGCATCAGAGACTGCACTCTCTCCTGGCTCTCCTCCTATCTATCCCAATGCTCCTTCAGCGTTACCTATAACGCTGCCACCTCCCCCTCTCTCTGTTGGGGTCCCCCAGGCTCTGTCCTTGGCCCCTTCTCTTCTCCATCTACACCTCCTCCCTCGGCAAACTGATACACTCCCACGGCTTGAACTATCACCTCTACGCCGATGACACGCAAATTTCTCTCCACCCCTCGCCTCACCCCTTCAGTCTCCACCCGTATCACCCACCTACTGAACGACATATCAGACTGGATGTAGCTCCATTTCCTCAAATTGAACCTTTCCAAAACTGAGCTCCTGATTTTCCCCCCAGCCCCCCCCCCCCACCCTCTCCATCACGACCAACAACGCCACCATCAGTCCCACCCCACAAGCCAAAGTCCTAGGTGTCACTCTAGACTCAAACCTGTCCTTTCAACCCCATGTCCAACCGTTGGCAAATTCATGCAGGCTCCACCTACGCAACATCTCCAAAATACGTTCGTTCCTAACCCAAGACACTACTAAACAACTCATTCACTCCCTCATTATCTCACGTATGGACTACTGCAACTCCCTTCTCACTGGCCTACCTCATCACAGACTATCCCCGCTTCAGTCTATCCTGAACTCAGCGGCCAGACTCATCCACCTTACCAACTGCTCTTCTGCCACCCCCCTCTGTCATTCCCTCCACTGGCTCCCGATTGCCCAACGCATTAAATTCAAACTACTAACACAGACATACAAAGCCATTCATAACGCTGCCCCAAACTACCTCACCGGCCTGATACCCAAATACCACCCAACCCGTGTTCTTTGCTCCTCACAAGACCTCTAGCTCCCTGGTCTCCACCTCCCACTCCCGACTGCAGGACTTCTCCAGGACTTCCCCCATCCTCTGGAACTCACTACCCCAATCCATCAGACTGTCACCTGCCCTCCTCACCTTTAGGCGCACCCTGAAAACCCAGGGAAGCCTACCCCACCCTCACCTAACAGCCAATCTCCTCCACTCCATCCCCCACAGCCACTTCCTCCTGTACCACTATCCCCTCCCTCCTAGATTGTAAGCTCAAAAGAGCAGGGCCCTTGACCCCCTCGTGTTTTTTTGTTTTGTTACTGTATTGTCTCATGTTCTGTCCCCACTATAATGTACAGCGCTGAGCAAACCTTTTAGCACTATATAAATACTGTATAATAATAATAATAAATATACCCTATTGTGGACATAATAAAAAAGATAAATATATATATATATATATATATATAATATAATATAATATTCTAAATATATATATATATATATATATATTATATATAATCTATAGGCATATTGCTAAATAAATATATATATATATAATGCTTAAATAGGAATATTCATCATTCTATTGTTGTCTTGGGCTCATAGGGAACCAATAAGAAGATCTGATCTGGAGTTGGAAGTCCGATACATCCCAGAATATCTACACAGAGAAATGTGATTCCTCTCTCTGGTCGGTTGCGTCATTTTGTTCCATCTTCAGATTGCCGCGTTCATCTGTATGGCATCTTCTCTGATAGAGTCCCCTCCTCCATCACTTCTTGAAAAATGGGCAAAAAAGGGAGCAGGATGATGGAGAAGATATTAGACCTGACCCTGGAGGTCATCATCCTGGTGACCGGAGAGGTGAGGAGGATTCTGGGAGGTCACATGACATCACTCTCCTCTCTATTACTAAAACACAGACCTGACCGGAGAGGTGAGTAGGATTCTGGGAGGTCACATGATGCCACTCCTATCTCTATAAATAAAACACGGACCTGACCATAGAGGTGAGGAGGATTCTGGGAGGTCACATGACATCACTCTTCTGTATTAATAAAACACGGACCTGACCGGAGAGGTGAGGAGGATTCTGGGAGGTCACATGACATCACTTTCATCTCTATTAATAAAAAACAGACCTGACCGGAGAGGTGAGGAGGATTCTGGGAGGTCACATGACATCACTCTCATCTCTATTAATAAAAAACAGACCTGACCGGAGAGGTGAGGAGGATTCTGGGAGGTCACATGACATCACTCTCATCTCTTAATAACACACAGAGCTGACCAGAGAGGTGAGGAGGATTCTGGGAGGTCACATGACATCACTCTCATCTCTATTAATAAAACACAGACCTGACCAGAGAGGTGAGGAGGATTCTGGGAGGTCACATGACATCACTCTCATCTCTATTAATAAAACACAGACCTGACCAGAGAGGTGAGGAGGATTCTGCGAGGTCACATGACATCACTCTCATCTCTATTAATAACAAACAGACCTGGCCGGGAACCAATAACAAGATCTGATCTGGAGTTGGAAGTCCGATACATCCCAGAATATCTACACAGAGAAATGCGATTCCTCTCTCTGGTCGGTTGCGTCATTTTGTTCCATCTTCAGATTGCCGCGTTCATCTGTATGGCATCTTCTCTGATAGAGTCCCCTCCTCCATCACATCATCCCCATCATCCATAACACACAGACCTGGCCGGAGAGGTGCGGAGGATTCTGGGAGGTCACATGACATCACTCTCATCTCTATTAATAACACACAGATCTGACCGGAGAGGTGCGGAGGATTCTGGGAGGTCACATGACACAACTATTAACAAAACATTGGATAGGTGAGGTATGTCGCGGGGTAGGTAGCCAGGATTCAGTGTCACTTATGTATGATGTAGGATTATGGACCAATAAAGAAGAAGCCCAGTGATCTTCTCCCCTCCTTGACACCTGAGAGAAACGACAAGTATCTTGAAGTCACCAAGAAGATCATTGAGCTGTTGACAGGAGAGTTGAGCGGTGCCGGGAATTCTGGGACATTCTCCAGTAACAGACAAGGGATGTGTCTGGATGGTGACTGTATCATTGTGTGTGTCAGGTTCCTATAAGGTGTCAGGATGTCACTGTCTATTTCTCCATGGAGGAGTGGGAGTATCTAGAAGGACACAAGGATCTCTACAAGGACGTCATGATGGAGAACCGGCTGCCCCTCACATCACCGGGTAAGAAGGGATGACTTATTGTACAGTTAGTGATCGTGTTGTCAAGCCCCAGTTGTACAAGCTGTTCTGTGCTTTATGTTTTGGTTAAGTTGCAAATCCGTCTTTTCATTAGCAGAAAGGTTGTCCGAAGGTTCCACTATCGCTGTTTATTCATCAACAGATGACAGTACCATTACTAGTCCACTACCACTCCCCTCACTGGAGGATGGAAATATGGAAACACATGGGCAAGAGAATGTCATCCAGGTGCCAAGAACATCACTCAACATCACATCTTCAACAGTATACCTCTTTCCATGCAATGGACAACCCCCTATCACATGAAGAAAACATCTCACACTTGGATGTCTCCAGCCCCAGAGGTCATACTCAGCATCTATTCACTAGTGTTAAGAAGGAACCCATTACACCTGAGGCACAATCCTCATGCAATGGTGTCTCCTTACCTGTGGATCAAGTAAGAAATATTTCTATTTCTGCATTGGAAGAGCCCCATCCACATATTTCATGCTCTGATAGTTTTAGTCGTCTTACAGTATCTATGTCATATAAAGGAGGAACCTTTCTCAGAGGAGCATCCCAACCACCCTGATAATTATTCACTGTCATTGGATACACATCCACATACTCAAGGTAAGGAAGGAATGGTCTCAGCTGAAGAACATGTCCCGCACTATATCACCTTAATTCCCACACATCGTACACACTGTCCATCTACTCAAGATGAGGAGCCATTTTCAGCTGAAGGACATCTCTCTCACACTATGAAGTCTCCACATCCATATCTTATACACAGTCTTCATCCAAGGTAAATGTCTCAATGGCTGAACATCTTCCACACTTTGATGTTTCCATGCTCATAGATCACACCCAATCTATAGACCCCTTATCAAAGAGGAACCCCTTTCACCTAAGGAACATTTACCCACCCTAACATGTTCTCACACCAACCACACCTCTTAAATCAGCACCAAAATGGAGTTTAGAAAATAAACACTTGTCTTAGTGGGGTCACAGTGTGGTTAGGTGATGTGGCGATTTTTCGCACAAGGTACTCAATGGGGCCATTTAACACCCTCCATACAACCCAAAAGTAAACTGAAGGATTTTAGGTAGCATCAAGATTCTGAATTTGGTACATTAAGGAAGAATGCCTCTCGCAGAAGGGAGAAAACCTCAGTTACTGGTGTGTTCTTACCTATGGAGGAAACCCTTATTATCTCAGCTTTTAACGTAGCATTACCAGTCTCAGACTTGTATGTACCCAGAGACTATAATCAGTATTTAGTGGCGGTTCCTGCCAAACCCAACCCAAAACCTCTCCCCAAGGAAAAGACAATGCTGTGTTCAGGGTGTGGGAAGTATTTTAGGTGCTTCTCAGAACTGGTGTCCCACAAAAGGACTCACACAGGAGAGACACATTACTCGTTTCTTGTGCGGAAAAGCCTTTTCACTAAAGCGGAATCTTTGAGGGTGAGGACACACTCCGGCAACAAGCCGCATTCATGCTCAAGTGTTTCATTAGCAACTCCCATCTCATCAAACACGTCCGAATCCACATGGGGGGGAAAGCCATTTTCTGGTTCTGAGTGTGGCAAGTTTTCATTACCAGATCTGACCTCATCCGCCATCAAGAGATCCACAATGGAGACTGGCCTTACTCTTGCCCTATATGTGGCAAGTGCATTAAGTGGAATTCCGACTCGATCCGTCACCAGGGGAGAAGCCACATTCCTGTTCAGAGTTCCACAAGTCCTTCACGCTAAAATCCAACCTTTTTTGTCCATGGGAGAGTTCACACAGGGGAAAAACCATACTCTTGTGCTGGATGTGGGAAGAGCTTCATCAGAAATCACAGCTGATCGTGCACCAGAAAAACCACGCAGCCAGCAAGGTGTACAGTCTTTCGGATTGCGGGATGGACTGTGGGGATCCACACTGCATATAAACGGTTGTGATATGAAGAAAGATATACGCAAAGTCCTACGATAGCCAAATAACCACCTACTTACATTGTGGGAAGGAGTCTGGTGGAAGGAATCTTTTTTAGGACCACTAAGGCCACCATTGTTTGCCATTCTCACACCCCAGGGGGAAGTGCCATCACCGAGAATAGGCTGGAATAGAACTTGCTTTGCTTTTAGTGGTTGAGCAGCACATAGTCACTATTGCTGAAATGAAGTTCCATCTAACCAGTTGAAAAAATTCTCCTAGGTTCCTTTGTGGCTTGGATGGGTGTGCTAAAATGTCCCTGTCAGATTAATATTTGGTCGCTGGACTGCCTTAGTGTGGTCACAGTGTGGTTAGGTGATGTGGCAATTTTTTGCACAAGGTACTCAATGGGGCCATTTAACACCCTCCATACAACCCGAAAGTAAACTGAAGGATTTTAGATAGCATCAAGATTCTAAATGAGAACTTTTCAGAATCAATGGAAGTTGTGCTAAGCAGTTCAAATAGAACGGGTTGTCATTTTAAAAAGATTTGACTAAGCAATGTCCTGCTTTGCAGTTTATGATGTCCTTAGGTGCGTTTTATCTACATTCACAAGGTGACTGTAACGGGCACGGACCACTGTCCTTTGTTGCATGCTGGAAGAAAGAGATGGGAATTCAGTTATCCAATCATGTTCAGTTGTGTTAACAAGGCCAGCTGTATTGCATGGCATGGAAACATTTTTTCACATTTTTTTTCACAGTGCTTCTGTGGGATGAGGCTACAGGCTCATTCCTAAGAACTAGAAATTCAGAGCCAGTCACAGAAACGTAGTAAACAGGATCGAGAGGTGCAGGCGATGAGAATTAAGACCTATTATAAGGAAGGGCAGAACCCTTGAGTGTGTTTTCAAAAGTTGGCTTTCTTCTCACCTTTGTATCTTGAGGACTCTGTTAAGATCTCTGCGTGTAGTTCCTGGGTCTGTGCACCATCCCTAATAGATATTTTATTTAACCCCCTAACGCTGACTTCTGCATCATGTGACCACTGTGATTGGTTCTCACAGCAGTCATGTGATAGTGAGCCCTTTCTGGTGGCTATCAGAAGTCCTGACCAAGAGCTATCGGTTACCGTGTTGGGAGCATGCAGTGAGTGCATCCTCAGCATGCAACCTCTGGCCTCTGTGGACACATATGTGCAGTGGCTGGGCATCAAAGCCCATCTTCTTTGTGTTATGGGCTCAGGACTGGAGTCATCAAGAGATGACACTATTATGTGATTCAGCACCACCCTCCCCCATCTAAAGCTGAAATATCACCTTTAGGTAGACTAACCCTTTCGGGAGACTTGGCTTACTAACCGGAAACATAATTGTCTTCTACAGCTCCTGCTTTGGCCAGTTCAAGGGTGTTTCTACTTTACCAGCTTTAGTAAATCCATATATTTAATGTGTTCTTTCACAATGTAGTAACTAATTAAATGTTCACCAGGAGTAGATCTAAACACTTTGAATTACCAAAGACTTCTACATATGGTATCCTAATATTCTGGCTCTTCTGTTGCTTTTCGAAAGCTAGGTCCCCATGGGCGTTCAAATTAGGTGAGCTACGTTTAGCTTACCAACACCTGTGATGGCTCAACTCAAAAAATATATATATTACCTTACCAGAGCGTTTGAGTAATTCCTTGCCCCGCCATATTAAACTGAAAACCTCATGCAGTTTCTCTAGTAAACCGGAAGGGTTAACACTTGCCTAGCAATATAGATGATAAAAAAATAAGCAAATCAATGCCAAGTCAGAACTTACCTACTGCAGGCCAGTGGCTCAAAAAGTACAAAAAAATTGGATTAGAACTACATCCTGGCAGGTGAGGAAGGGGGGGAGCAAATGTCCCTCCCTGACCATACCAAGCCACATGCCTGAACATGGGGGGGGGGTGCTTTGGGGCAGGAGGGGCTCCCCTCCTAAAGCACCTTGTCCATGTTGATTGGGGCAAGGGCCACTTCCCCACTATGAAGGTGGGTTTGACACCCAACATGAGTCTTCAGAGGATTCCCCTGGCAAACGCGCTTACCCACTATGAAATTGGGTTTGACACCCCTGACTTGAGGAGTCTTCAGAGGGTTCCCCTGGCAAATGCACTTCCCCACTATGAGATTGGGTTTGACACCCCTGACTTGAGGAGTCTTCAGAGGGTTCCCCTGGCAAATGCACTTCCCCACTATGAAATTGGGTTTGACACCCCTGACTTGAAGAGTCTTCAGAAGGTTCCCCTGGCACTGCACTATGCGCCTGGGTGAGTACCAAATGCAGGATCCACTGCCCAAAGCAACATTAAGGCTGGACCAGCATCTGCTTCCTGTCAGGGTCCGAGTATGGTCCCAATCCCGAAAGCTGCAAGGTGGACACCGCAGTGTCTGTGAGCAAATAATTAAGTTTTTAGGAGTCTTGATTTAACAACTTCAAGTCGGGACAATTTCACCCCCTTCCTGTCCAGGCCAATTTTCAGCTTTCAGCGCTGTCGCACTTTGAATGACAATTACGCAGTCATGCAACACTGTACCCATATGAATTATTTAGCATTTTTTTGAGACAGATAAAGCTTTATTTTGGTGGTATTTATTCAGCGCTGGGATTTTTATTTTTTGCTATATAAATGAAAAAGTGTTTTTCTTATAAAATTTTGCAAATAATCTTTATTCATAAATCTTGGCCAAAATGTATTCATCTATCTTTTTAGTAAAAAAAATCCAAATTAGTTTATAACCAAAAATTTTAATTTTAAAAAACATTTTTATGATTTTTTTTTTCTAACAAACTGTCACCCGAGCAGTAAAGTGTCACCATAGTGACACTGTACTACTTGTGGGGGGGGGGGGGTGATTTTTTTTCCTACAGATTGCTTTTATACCCATAAATGCTGTAAAATCAATAATTTCTCCTCTCTGGCTGCATTCTTGCAGCCATTTAAAATACTGCGAAAGCTGTGATTGGTCACAGCTTGTCACATGGTACAAGGCTGTTGTGAATAGCCCTGTACCATGTGATCTCTGTGATCGTTCACAGATTTCGCTAGTAAGTAATGGTGTCAGGAAGTGAGATCTTGCTTACTACTATTCATGTTTGGCCAATCAGTGATCACATGATCAGGACCTCACACAGAGGTCCCGTACAGCAATCGGGACACAGCACGGATTGTGGACCGCGCACAGGCTGGGAATGCAGGACGACGTTTATAAACGGCCTCCCGCTCCTGCACTGCTCTCGTCCAGCCGTTTATATACATGGGCCGGATGGGAAGTGGTTAAAAAAAAAAAAAAAGGCAAAGAGAAAAATGAAATATTGTTTGCTTATCTCAGGGCAAAGAGAACAGTTGTCCTTCCACCTGTTGACACCAGAGAAAAAAAAAAAATGGAGGCTTGCTGGGAGTGGTAGGGGTTATGCTAGGGCTCTCCTTACAGCTTTGTATGCCAATGTCCAGGACCCGGTGGTAGCCACCAAACCCATGGTCAAAGACTGTAATGTACGATCAAGAAAAAAACCTTTTTGCAATCAGTCAAGAATTAACCCAATGACTGGAAATAAAAACTCAAAACATTGAGATCACAAATAGTTGTTTTCTTACAATTTAATCGAGCAAAAAACAATTTCCTTGTTTTTTTTTTTTTTCCAAATTAAGCACATTGGCATTTTCATTATTTCACAGAGATAACTTCATGGTCAGTCAGTACCGTCCTAGCAACCTAGAACATCAAAATTCGGGTTCATGTTATGAACAGAAAAAAAAACAACTTGGGTTTAAGTGTATGCATGCGGGTGTTCTCTGAAGACCCGTTCCATCTGTCCCAGGCAGTACTGATCAGAATGTAAGAATGACGTAGCAAATCCATTCCTTAAAAAAAACTTTCTAGGGTTTTCGACAAGACTAGAAACCGTACTGGTGCCCCTGGGTGGTCTATACTTCACCTGCCATGAAGGCGATGGCCAACACACATACCCCCACTAGTAGGTCAAGCATGGTGCAGCCTCTGGAAGCAAGTCTAAAGACTTATTTTTACTCTATCTCTGGTCTCACCCACACAACACCAGTAAATGTTGAAAACTTAAGACAGGAGAGATGCTTAAAAGTTATTGCAAAGGTGGAGGCATCACCAGACCCCAAGGTGCCAACTAGTAGTCCATAGAGAATTGTGGTGGTGGTAAAGAGACTCCAGACTCTGAGATGGGGAGGGGGTGAAATCACAAAACGTATGTGCAGGTACTTTACAAATGTTTTGACTGGTAAAAATTTTGAGTAACTTCAGTTAAAACAAACCATGAGAAAATATTTTTGGTTAGCTTAGAGGCGTTTTATAGAGTTGAAGGAGACCCAGTCAGGAAAGGACCGATTCAAAAATGAGAATATTTAGGCTCCATTCACACTTGTCCAACTCCAAAGTTGTGCCATTTCCATTGCACCTTGGATGCGACTTTGGCTGTTGTGCAATCGTCACATTTAAAACGTTAAGATGCGACTTTTGAGTTTACATTGCAGCCTTGGGCACTCAAGTCGCATCAAAGTAGTGCAGGAACCTTTTATAAAGCGGTCTTCCACCCAAAAGGGGAAGCTCCGCTCGTCTGCCTCCTCCTCCCCCTCCGGCACCTTTTGAAGGGGAGGGGGGAGCAGGTGCCGTACAGCTGAGTAGAAATTCAACGGGTTTCAGCTTGATTAAGGCCTACTGGCCGAAACACGTTGCCTTTCTACTTGGCTGTACTTCTGAGAAAATGGTTATTTTTTATTAAAAAAATGGTGAAGCCCAGCAAAGTAGAAATTCAATGCGTTTCAGCTGCTAGGCCTTAATCATGGCTATGTTCCACCCAAAAGGGGAAGCTCCGCTCGTCTGCCCTCTCCCCCCCATGGCTATGATTAAGGCTTAACGGCCAAAATGCTTTGGCCTTCTACTTGGCTGTGCTTTAGCAAAAAAAAATGGCTATCCTTTATTACAAAATGGTGAAGGACAGCAGAGTACAAAGCCAACGCATTTCGGCCATTAGGCTTTAATCGTGGCAATTAAATCCTAATGACCAAAACGCATTGAGATTTCCACTCAGCTAGACTTCACCATTCTGTAATAAAGGATAACCACTTTGGATGATTTACCGGGGTGCTGTTTTTTATTTTCTATGGAATGTACAGTGTTTTGTAGGTTATAGGAAACCATTTAGCCTGAGCACCCAGTACTTGGAGCTTTGGATCATAATGGAGGTCATAGAGTTATCTCACCTGTTCTAGTTCATATAGGACTCAGTGGGGTTGATTAACCTCTTCACGCCGGCCACACGCACATGTGCGGCCTCCCGGTGTCTGGGCCTAGACACCAGGCGGCCGCACATTTGCGTGCAATTAAGAAAAACATATGTGCTGAGAGCGTGGGCCCTGCCCGCTCCCAGCACACATGTTCGGTACTCACGGAAAGGTCCCGATCTCCTCTTTTGATCGGGACCTTTCTCGATCATGTGACCGCTGTGACAGCGAATCACGGCGGTTACATGACCCTAAAACCCCGCCTCCTGAAACCCTTAAAGGGCCAGGAGGCGCCGGCTCCAAGGGGTTAAATAAAACAGTGCAAAATCTGGTGCATGGTAGCCAACCAGCTTCTAACTTTAGTTTGTTCAGTTAAGCTTTGACAATGAAACCTGGAAGCCGGTTCCTGTGCAGAGCTGCACCAGATTTTGAACTCGCCACTTTTTGTAAATCAAGCTCGTTATTGGCTGTTATGCACACTCAGGAGCTTTGAGACTGTGCAAGGCCAGGAGCTCACAGGGCAACAGATTTCAAAAGCCTTCTTACATCCGACTCTCGTTCGAGACTGATTCTCTTTAAGGATGTGACAAGTGATCTGTCCTTTCAATCTCCTTTTTTGGCTGCCACAAAGTGACAGTGCACACAGTTTTCATTAAAACACGCTAACTGGTGGAAAAGAGATTGGTGGAAACCTTCAAGTTCAAATAAAAAAAAGAAGTTTGGTTCCGCCTGCTGTAAAGTGGCCCTCACTTTAACCATAATTTAATAATCACCATTCATTTTAAAGGGTCAGTTCACCAAAAACCAATGTTTTGGGAGCACCAATGGTGTCGGGAGCCCAGGGATTAATGGACACTCCCCAGATAATGTCATATGTGACAAAACGTGTAATGGGCAGAGCAGATATATGCATCTTTGAACCCAGAAGCAGCCCGTTCTAATCCAAGGGACCAACTTGAGCTATTCTGTGATTGTGATTTTGGCAATTTTAATAAAAATCGTGGTTCTACGCTATGGAGTATCCCTATCTGTTTTACATAATTTGGAGTTGTGGCATATAATCACGTTCTGTGTGGGATGTCATATGGTGCCACAGAATTCAGCGATACGAGCATATATTGACTTCTCTTAAACAGAAGGTCAATATAATCTGGTAATCGTACCCATTTGATACTTGGTGGAGGACCACTGTGGTGTCACCTTTTGGAGTGCAAGGACCTATTTGGGGTCTGATCCATATCACCTATTTTTTCACCTGTGACGGTGGACTTTCACTTTATTATTTGAGACTTTTTATGCACTGAATATTATTATTATATCATTTTGTAAGGGGTGCAGCACTGTTTTTATTCATTAATGGACGCCTACATCCCTTGGGATCCCTGAGAGTTCTGATCCTGTGTTCCCAAGCTTCTCTCACCTTACTTGCTTCTCCATGGTGTGAAATAGATATTAAGCCCAGTGGCTGCAGGTAGAACTCCGTTTAAGGTGGTCAAAGCTGGGAACACAGGTTCAGAGCTCTCAGCTCTAGAAAGCAGTGGGCACAGCCAAGAAGAACCAAGTGGTGACCGTGCTTTTGGAGGTTCACCTCAAGGCTATCTACCCATAACTGTATCAGAAACACGAGAACCTACCCCCCCCCCCTACTGACTGAACCATTGTCCTTGGTTGGACTGATCGTTTGGTTCTACAACATACTCAATGACACGCAGAGCTAACCCCCTAAACAACCGCTTGCAGGTTTTGGTGGTCAATCGTGTCACAAAATGCTCGTCTGAAGATTACTTGAGGTCCTCTGACGTCAGGACCAAGAATATCCTAGAAGAGAATTCTGGGAAAACAGGATACATCTGGGAAAAAGTATAGTAGGAAATGGAGAAGGGGTGTAAACTGTACATTATATATCATGCTTCAAGATGATCCTCTTCAACAGCATAAAACAGCAAGACCCTGTGAAGTATTTAAAAGGGATCTCAATTAAACAAAAACCCTCTGCTGAATAATTTGGACTCCTCGGGAGGGCAGCAGCTTAAAGTGGTTCTAAAGGCTGAAGAATTTTGCATGAAGGTTAAAAACATTCTAGGTGCAGCTCCCCCCCCCCCCCCCAATACTTGCCTGAGCACCATCTTGCTCCAGCAATGTGCACCAGAGCAGCGGCTCTCATTGGCTGGGACACAGCATCGGGAATCATTGGATCTTGCTCTTGTCAATCACAGCCAGTGAGTTAGGAGGGAGCAGGGGGGCGGGATTGAGCCACGCTCTGTTTGTTCCATAGACACGTAGAGGTGGCTCAGGAGCGAGCATGCAAGAGTACCAACAGAGCAAGAGCAGCACTCGGCAAGGGGGAGGGGCAAGAAGCGCCGGCAGGTGAACCAAGAAGAGGATTGGGGCTGCTCTGTGCAAAACCATCACACAGACCATGTAAGATGTGTTTAAAGAACAACACTTTTCAAACACAAGGCCCGCGGTATCCTCCCTTGTCTCAGCAGTCGGCAGCAGAAAGGAGGACAAAACTCCTCCTACAGATCATGCACCTCTCTGTGCAGCCGCAGCACCCCTTCGTCTAAGCTCTGGTCTCAGCATTCAGCAGACTCTTGCAGCTGACCCTAGTCCTAGTCCAGACCCTGCATTTTCTACTTTCCGGCTCCACCCCCAGGTTCTTACTGGCAGCAGCACAAGGTAAGGGGGGGGCTGCATTTGATGTAAGGGAGGGTGGAGGACCCTTGACTTCTGATGGTGGTGGTGTTGGTGGGGGATGCTCTTGAGATCTGATGTAAGGTGGAGTGGAGTGATCCAAACATCTAGTCAGACAGATAAAAAAGGACATTTGAGGGTGACCATAATGCTGATATGGCCTGGGATTAGAATGAGGTTGACATCCCTCCAAAAATTCGACCCCCGGACCTGTAGTTTAATCTGGAGCGCCGGCTTATGAATTTATCTAGCCATTTAATTGCCACTCAAAGCTTAGGATGGCCTTTTTCAAGGTCTGATAAGATGTGAGAACTTGTGAGGGTGGTTTCACCAAGGGTTTGGTTAGGAACATGAAAGATGCTACTTGTTGATGGCCCAATAGGTGGCCAAGTCAAGGCCAGAAGACTGTGCTGCTGGAAGGGGGGGGAGGACTAAGCTATTGCGGTTTCTTGGTCGGGCAAATTTTAGAACACCAACGCGGGTTTGGATAATTTGGCAGAGGGTTGTTTCTCAGAAATCCCCTTTAAAATATACATTAAGCTGCCTATCGGGAAAAAAAAGGATGAGCTGAAGGAAAATTTATGGTGTCCAAGCTAAGCTCTAACAAGAGCTTGAAGGATCAAGGTAGCCACGTGCCCCACCAACAACAGGTTAAAACAAAAACCACACACACTTGGATGACAGCTGCCATTTTGTTTTTTTCCAGGCGTCTTTGGGACATGGTTCCACCTACGTAGGAAATCTCATAGCCCCCAGTGTCGTAAAGTCAATACAGCTGTTCCTTCGCGTGGACCTTCTGATGCGTAATCAGGTTGGATCTCTGGTTGAAACACTTCCCGCACACTGCGCACAGGAAGGGTTTTTCGCCTGTGTGGATTTTCTGGTGTCGGACGCGGTTGTGATTGCTAATGAAGCACTTGCCGCACTGTGGGCAGGAATATGGCTTCTCCCCAGTGTGGATCCGCTGGTGTTTGGTGAGGTTGCGGTAGCTGCTGAAGCTTTTGCCGCAGTCTGAGCAGGAGTAGGGCTTCTCGCCCGTGTGGACTCGCTTGTGTGATTTGAGGTTCTTGTTGCTAATGAAGCATTTGCCGCACTCGGTGCAGGAGAAAGGCTTCTCGCCAGTGTGGTTCCTTTGGTGGACGATGTAGTATTGTTTGGTGGTGAAGCCCTTTCCGCACTCGTCGCAGAAATACTGCTTCTCCTCGCTGTGCTCCTTCTGGTGCGCTGCCAGGGTCTCGCCCGTAGGGAAGCTGACGCCGCATTCCGAGCAGCAAAACGGAGTCTCTACCGCGTGCATCCGCTGGTGGATGTAGAGGTACTGCTTGCTACTAAACCGCTTCCCACACTCCTGGCAGCCAAATGGCTTTACTCCCAGATGGGTCTTCTGGTGAGCAAGAAGCCGCTGGCTGCTGGGGAATCGTTTCCCGCAATCGCTGCAGAGGAACTGTTCTTTGTGGCTTCGTTTATGGTGGCTGAGGGAGGTGGCGCTGCCAAAGGTCTTGCCGCAACTGGGGCAGGTGTAGGTCTTTTCATTGGAGTGCGTCCGTTGGTGGGCAACCAGGTATGACTTTTTGGTGAACGACTTGCCGCAGTCAGAGCACTTGAAGGCTTTCTCGCCCGAGTGCAGTTGCTGGTGCTCAATAAACTTGGCCTTGCCGCGGAAGCACTTGCCACACTCAGAGCAAATCATCAGGAACTTCTCCTTGTGGATCTTGCGGTGAATGAGGAGCCCGGCACGGGAGGTGAAGCATTTTTTGCATTCGGAGCAGACGTGTAGCGTGGCGTCGCTGGCTGCCTTCCCACCGTTCTCGGCATTCGTACGGCTTCTGCTCGCTCTTACAGACAGGTTGATGGGGAGGTCTTGGGGTTTGGAGCTATTTTCAGAGGTCTCTTCCTCGGGGCCAGAGCTGGGTGGGGATTCTGGATTGATGATAACAGTCCCCTCCTCGAGGACGGTGCTCACGGGCGATTCTATGTGATCGTCACCATCACCTGCCGCTTCATTTGGACCGCTGCTTGTGGGAGATTTTGAGTTGACGGCGATATTCTCTTTATCCGGGCTGGCGCTGGCAGGTGACTCCGGATGATCATCTCCCTCAACTTCAATAGGGTCAGCGCTGTCAGGGGATTCTGGGTTAACAATGACAGTCTCTTGCTCTAGGTCACTGCTTTCGGGGGATTCCGGATGAATGATGACGGTCTGCTCCTCTAGGGTGGTGATTTCAGGGGAAGGGGGCTGGACAGTAACAGTCTCTTCCTCGAGGGCGGCGCTCACTGGAGATCGTGGGTGAATAATAACCGTCTCTTCCCGTAGGCCAACGACTGCGCGGTAGGCTGGGTGAGTCTCAGCATGCTCGCCGTTCTGTTTGCTGTTGTCGAGGGAGGCTGAAAGAGTGCCTTCTTGACTCATGCCGAGGACCGGTCACGGTGTCATTCGAGAAGAAGGGTCCCGTTGATGAAAAGGACGACCTGTCAATCAGATCAGAAAATGTTCAGTAATCATGTATCCTCAACACTGGCCTCTGATCAAAGTGTCTCAGAGAAGTACCTCAACAGTCTTAGTAACAGCCGAGCCCTGCAAAGGGGGACTGGGTAAAGTATCTAATGGGGCACCATGGCCAACGCAGAGAGAAATCGTTCATTCCCTAAGACACACTGAGGAGGCTCTGCAGATCCTAAAACTAAATACCAACAGAAATAACAGACAGCTTTGCATGAACCTAATATTTTTCGATGCAGAAACGTCCCCCCGTAGACTTCGATGCAGAAACGTCTCCCCATAGACTTTGATGCAGAAACGTCCCCCCGTAGACCTCGATGCAAAATCACGTCCCATTGATTTCAATGCAAAATTGCGTCCCCCGCAGACTTTGATGCAAAAAAGCCTCCCCCCCATAGACTTCGATGCAAAAAACGGTCCCCCGTAGACTTCAATGCAAGAAATGCCTCCCCCCCCTGCAGACTTCGATGCCAAAACGTCCCCCCTGTAGACTTCGATGCCAAAACGTCCCCCCTGTAGACTTCGATGCCAAAACGTCCCCCCTGTAGACTTCGATGCCAAAACGTCCCCCCTGTAGACTTCCGATGCCAAAACGTCTCCCCTGTAGACTTCGATGCCAAAACGTCCCCCCGTAGACTTCGATGCAAGAACGCCCCCCCGTAGACTTCGATGCCAAAACGTTCCTCCGTAGACTTCAATGCAAGAAACGCCCCCCCCATAGACTTTAATGCAAAAAAAGCCCCCAATAGACTTCAATGCAAAATCGCATCCCCCTAGTGACTGCAATGCAAAAACACCAGCCACATTCGTTGTAAATACATTATAGATATATATATGCTGTCCGTTCGCTTTGCGTAAGACACATAGAGCCCTGGCTCACCCCACCCCTGCTCTCTCCTCATTGCATCACTAGTTGTAATGGACAGCAGTGGGAGCCAATGGCTCCCGCTGCTATCTCAGTCAATGAAAAGAGGGAGTCCCGGGACAGCCGAGGATCCCGTGCACATCGATTGAGATCGTGCTCAGGTGAGTATTAGGGGGGTTGTGGGAGGAGCACACAAGGGTTTTTTTTTAGCTTTTAGAACCACAAAACCATACAGTAAGCCCTGAAGAAGGGGGAACCCTCCCCCGCAATGCGTCAACCATATTTTATTGTTCCTTTCAATTCCAAGCTTTTGGACAGTTTACACCGGGAGCCCCTAACTTACCTAAAACATACCTACAGGCGGGTCATCTGCTGAGTGGTCCCATTCACCACGAAGGAAGGAACTTTTGCTTTGCCAAGTCCATGGCTACCAAACACACCCACCAAGGCAGATCTTCGGAACCTTTGTAACATGGAGGAACCCTTAAAATAACTTTCTGGTCTCCGGAAACCTCTGCTAATAATGATTCTATCTACATATCCTGGTAGATCATCATGGCCAGTAAGTTGATGTATGAGAATAAAGAAGTAGGATCACTCCTGTCAGGCGGAGCAGGGGATGGGATAGCTGCTGTTCTCTTCTTCCTCCATTGGTAGTCTACTGTGGGCAGAAGAGAGTAGAGCGATGGGGGGGGGGGGGGGGGGGGGGGGTGAGGTGCCCGCTGATTGATGACCTACTCCTCAGTACAGACACCTGCCGGGGAGTGAGGGCGGACTGCCCTTCTTCCTGTTTCACTCTTGTCAGGTGACATCACGTGACCAGAAGACGACATTGCCTTTATTGCTCCCCCTGCTCCATATATTGTTTATTTCAGGTACTTATATAGCGCCATCAATTTACGCAGCGCTTTCCATATATATTGTACATTCACTTCAGTCCCTGCCCTCGAGGAGCGTACAATCTAAGGTCCCTAACTCACATTCATACATACCCATACTAGGGCCAATTTAGACAGGAGCCAATTAACCTACCAGAGCCTTTCCCTAGAGCCACACGGGCCCCCTATATTTCCCTAGCGCCACACGGGCACCCCTATCTTTCCCTAGAGCCACTCATGCCCCCCCAATCTTTCCCTAGAGAACACGAGCTCCCCAATCTTTCCCTAGAGCCATGCGGGCCTCCTTTCCTTTCCCTAGAGCCACACGGGCCCCCCTATCTTTCCCTAGAGCCACACGGGCCCCCCTCTCTTTCCCTAGAGCCACACGGGCCCCCCCTCTCTTTCCCTAGAGCCACACGGGCCCCCCTATCTTTCCCTAGAGCCACATGAGCCCCTTATCTTTCCCTAGAGCCCACACAGGCCCTCCTTTCCCTAGAGCCACACAGGCCTCCTTTCCCTAGAGCCACACAGGCCCCCCTATCTTTCTCTAGAGCCAAACGAGCCCCCCTATCTTTCTCTAGAGCCACACGGGCCCCCCTATCTTTCTCTAGAGCCACACGGGCCCCCCTATCTTTCCCTAGAGCCACACAGGCCTCCTTTCCCTAGAGCCACACAGGCCTCCTTTCCCTAGAGCCACACAGGCCCCCCTATCTTTCTCTAGAGCCAAACGAGCCCCCCTATCTTTCTCTAGAGCCACACGGGCCCCCCTATCTTTCTCTAGAGCCACAGGGGCCCCCCTATCTTTCCCTAGAGCCACACGGGCCCCACATCTTTCTCTAGAGCTACACAGGCCCCCCTTTTTCTACAGCCATATGGGCCCCCCTTTCTTTCCCTAGAGCCATACGGGCCCCATCTTTCACTAGAGCCACACGGGCCCCCTTTCCTTTATCCTAGAGCCACACAGGCCCCCCTATCTTTCCCTAGAGCCACACGGGCACCCCTATCTTTCTCTAGAGCCACATGGGGCCCCTTCCTTTTCCTCATCTTTTTCCTCCAGCCAACACCGACTCAGCTGCGTTAGAAAAACTTCCGCCATTTGTACCGGTATTAGCCCCGCCCCTAGCCCACTGATTTTGAAAGGCTCACATATACCAGGGCCAATTTATACAGGAGCCAATTAACCTACCAGCATTTCTCTGGAGTGTGGGAGGAAACCGACTTACCCTGAGTACCCGGAGGAAACCCACGCAGGCACAGGGAGAACATGCAAACTCCAGGCAGGTGGTGCCATGGTTGGGATTTGAACCAACGACCCCAGTACTGCCAGGTGGAAATGCTAACCATTCAGCCACTGTGCTGCCCACCTGCACTCACAGACCTTCTCCCTCCCGTCCACAGGCGCCCCCTCTCTCCCATCCACAGGCGCCCCCTCTCTCCTGTCCACAGGCGCCCCCTCTCTCCCGTCAACAGTAGGCCGTCAATGGAGTAAGGAATGAGCAGCATCTATCTGGACAAATACTCTGTACATGAGCATGAATGCCAGCAAGCTCCCAGTGTGCGTTTTTCCACGTGAGATCCCGGTATGCAGAAGAAATCAGTAGGAAATAGACCAAGTTGTGCAAATAGCCACATGTACATAAAATACCGAATTATACCAAGGGCGGGGCGCAGCACTGAAGAACGCTCTTCTGTCTCCAGCCGCTGTGATTGGCGATTTGACGGCTTGGAGGGTAACGAGTTGTGCTGAAGGGTCAGAAAGAATTCCGAACCTGCCTGAACCATCCCACCAGGAACCTGTCAAAGCTGACAACCAATCATAGGTGGAGGGGCGTGTATACCTGCAGCATTGGGGAGTGAGACCACCGATTGGCTGTCGGCTTTGACAGCTCCTGTCTACTTCTTAGCCATCTTAACTCTAACATGGGTCTCCCCTTCATTTTCCTAGAGCCACACGGGCCCCCCTCCTTTCCCTAGAGCCACACGGGACCCCCTTTCCTTTCCCTAGAGCCACACTGTGCCCCCCTTTTTTCCCCTAGAGCCACGCTATTTTTCCCTAGAGCCACAAAGAGCCCCCTATCTTTCCCTAGAACCGCATAGGGCTCCCTTCCTTTCCCTAGAGCCGCATGGGCTCCCTTCCTTTCCCTAGAGCCACATGGGCCCCTTCCTTTCCCTAGAGCCACATGGGCCCCTTCCATTCCCTAGAGCCACACAGAGCCCCCTTTCTTTCCCTAGAGCCACATAGAGCCCCCCTTTCTTTCCCTAGAGCCAAATAGGGCCACCTTATCTTTCC